TCGCGGCGCGGCCCCGGCACCACAGCTTTTCTACCGCCTGTCTCGACCCACGCGTGTCGCGACACTCGCCACCGGGCAGCCTGAGCCCGGCGGGCTCCCGTGCTCCTGCAGAGGCCGGGGAGACGGCGTGAAAACTACGGCACCAAAAAGTGAATGCCAGCTATTGCCGGTGCCAAGTTCTAGAAATCCAGGACTTTGAAAACAGAGCTAGATACTCTCGAATTGCAGTATCATCATTACAAGTTAGCATACTGCAACAACAACTAAAACGACTGTTTTTGTCCTTAACGTAGGGGTCTCTTCCTCTAGGATCTCAATCTTGCTGCGACAGAGAGCAGCTCTACTCCCTACACACAATCAGGTATCTGCTTGGGAAAAAAAACAAAACAAAACAAAACAACAAAACAACAAAACCCAAAGCAAAGCATGTTTCAGAAGGCATAAAGACAAAGTTAACTCCTTAATCTCCTTTACCTCTGTCAAAAAGGCAACAAAATGCCTGCAACACTGTTTCAACCTTCTTCATTTCTACTGGCTGTTTAACCAGAGGAAGCTTTTCAAAAGGAAAAGCATACAACATACATTGCTCTCTCAAGTTTGTTCAAATTGAAATGACAAATTAAATCTTGCAAAAGTACCACTCTAATTTCATCCAAGTAAAAAAAATCTCAATAAAGAAGACAATTATGATACAATGTATACAAACTTATGCCTTCCAATAACTCATACAGATTAGTTCTGTGCCATTTTTTCCCATCCAAAATCAAATAGGGTTCAGTGTCAAAGAGGTGCCCTCTCCCCTTAATCTTTCTTTAAGATAGCTACTACATCACACACATGTACACAAGGCTAAATATAGGGAAGGGATTATAGATTGACACTTCTGTCTGGTACAGAAGAGCACTTGGGTTTAAACATCCTTCCAGGTTCCCAGAACTGAATTATAAATGCACATCTTAAAATTCAAGAGATGAAAACCAGAGAATTTGATTTACAATAACTTCAGAATTTGAGCTTATTTATTTTCATTTAACTGGAGTATTTGTGATCACTGACAATTACTGACACTGAGCATTTTTATATTTTTTTAAACAGGACAGTAAATTACCTGAGAACACCACACAAACTTGCTAAGCCCAGTTCCAACACAATCAGAAAACACCATCCAGAAGTACTTCAAGAAGGGGACAACTTCAATGTTAAATTTTTAAGTTAGGCAATGACTTGGTCTCTGTGTCAGTGTTCCACAGTGTTTTACTGCATGTGCTTTTGTTGTATTTTGTTTTAATTTTTTTTAAATAAAAAACCCTAAATGTTCATCTTCTCCAGGCTATGCAACTCATTAATGTATGCAACGTGAGCTTCACAGCCCCGAGATATACATACCATTTCCTTGAATGCGCTTTCTATGGCCCCAATAACCAGGCACTCATGCGGGATCTTCTTCTCGGTGAAAAAGCGTGTTGGAGGGGTGCTGGGCGAACCTGGGGCCCCCACACCACCACGCAGGGAGGCTGCCCGTGTCAGCGTCCTGCTGTTGGTGGCTGGGTTGTCGGGCTCCTCTCCCAGGCAGGTGGGCGGGAGGATGGCCGTGTTCCTCAGGATTTCCACGATCTCCTGCAGCTGCTCCAGGATGTGGTGCTGCAGCAGTTTGGAAGCAACCACAGCTGCCCCGGACCCAGCGTGTCCATCAAACAAGGACCAATAGTACAGGTTGATCCCATCTGTTTCCTGGAAAAGCAGGAAGGGAAGAAAGGGAAGGAAAAGAGATGGTCACTGTTACACAGCCACAAGTGAGGTGATGGAGCAGGCACAGGTGGCACAGGGGCAGCAGGTAAAACACAGGTAACTTTCTTAGAGGTAACCCTTCTGAAATGAAGAAACAGCCACTGTGTTAGTAAGATGCCTATTTTTGCCACACAACCCCACCACTATGTTTTTTTCTTTTCCTTAACCCCCTCAAAAAAAAAAGGCTGAACATGCAATCTTTCTCACCTTACAGCCATCACAGGATGCACTGACCAAGCACAGCTACCACTGTGAGACTAAGTTAATTTCCTAGTAACTGCGTAGATCAGAAGAAAAGCATTCAAAAATCACATCACTGATAAATAATGGAGCAACCACCAAAATTCTACACAAGACCTGATACTTCTGTGACAGACATTTTTCTCACTAGCCATAAGACATAGGACTTCAGTTTGACATCCAGTAACATGATGTGATCTCCACTTCCATGAGTGGTAGATAAGGTCCATCTGTGGTTGCAGATGAGACAGCTCAGGCTTTCCCTGCCTGTGCCAGCCCAGGAACCAGCGCAACGCAGAGATCCTCAAGCATGGCAGACATGAGTGGAATCACCTGCAGTCCACCCTACACATGCACTGCCCAGTTCTTCCCAGTCCTCCAAAAAGTCTCCTGTACACTACTGGAGTTACATCCCCTCTGATGAGAAGAGTTATGCAAGTGTTTTGGTATAGCTCTCGGCATAATCATATGCTTTTAGATCTTATATCTTACCTCAACTCCTAGCATGCTGGTCAGCACAACTGCTCTCATACAGTTAGAGTATCTGGTAAAAGTAAATTTTGTGGACCTCATCATTAAAATTTAGATGTACATACAGTAATGTTATATATTTGTTCAGCAGTTATTGATCAATTATGTGATTTTCAAATATTTCTCCCAATCTGCTCCACAGAGTCTCCTCTAACAGGTGTAAGCCAGCTTCACCATTGCTCTGATTTGAGCAGAAAAAATGTTTTTGTGGTGGGATGCCCTATCCCTCAGATAGGGCCAATTTAACCCAGACTAAGTTCTGAGCAGCACAAGCTCCCATCAGCCTGAAAAATACCAAGGAGCCACACCATAAATAACTTGAACTTTTTTTTTTTTTTTTTTAAGAAATTCACCTAGAAATCCTCAGGGAAGCATTTAAGACATAAAAATACCTGTCTTTGCATGATAACATATTTGGCTGCAGCATGTGGAAGGCATGTTTCCAGTCTCTACTTTCACCTCTGTTTCTTCTTAATGCTGCATCTTCTGCCAGCTATGCTGAAACAGCTGTTTGTGGGGCTGCCTTGCGAGTAAGGTGTGGGTGGACTAATAAAGAGTTAGAAATAAATAATTCTGCAAGGGAAACTAATCAGGCAATACTGTTGTAAAACACCTCATACTAACAAAGCATAACCTAGATCTCACTGCAATCAAAGAACTTAAAAACTACCTGCACATGTCACACTGACTGTGGTCTAATTTCGAATGACAGACATGATTTGTTCCATTCACCCCAACACTGCTCCCTTACACAACAGATCAGTACAAAGTCTAGGTGCCACCTGGATCACATCACCTCATGCCCAGAGCACTGCTTATTTCAGACTTATGTACAGGGCTGTGAACTGCAGCTCTGTTTGCTTTCTGCTGTTCCAGCTGCTCCAGAAAGGTGCCAACCACTGACTATAGGACAGGGCTGATGGGTTGGAGTAAGAATACCATAAATTGTCATTTGCAGATCCAGAAGACATCATTCATTGTTGCCTCAAGCTAAAAACTTCCAAATGCAAAATGTCTCTTTTAGCGAGATGTATATAGACCATAGCTACAAGTTCATGCTGCTCAAAGAGCAGAGCTCATTGCTGAACAAGCATTACTAACTTTAACTTACTTTCTTGAAACATACATTTAAAAACATTGATTATAAAAGTTACATAGAAGTCTTTCCTTTAGCTTATGGCATTGCTGCTGTAGTAAAGTTCAAACATATTCTTACCCAGTGCCATACTGACAATATAGTCATCTACACAGCGGAGAGTTCCTCCAAGAAAAGGAATTCAGTAATCTATTGTGCACTCCATTTCGTTACTGAAATGGCAAGAAAACAAAGTATTGTCCTACAGTTCTGGATTACTTACCACAGTAAGGATCATACAGGATACATCCTATAACAATGGGAAAAAACCAAGGAATACACACATTTTCGAATGCGGCTCTTTAGCCAGTGCCACCCACGTAGCCAGTCTGGTTAATTCACCAAAAGCGTGTTGTGAAATTTCACTCCTGAAGGCATGACTGGCAGTTGTGTTAGCTTGCTCTGGGCTCAGAACCCCTTCAAGTTCACACAACAGTTGGCTGCAAAATTCTGCTTAAGCCATTTTTAATGGATAACGAAATTACTGACTAAAAAAAAAACCTGTTTGTAAAAATGATTGCTATTCATGCAAAATGTGAAGTATTTGCCAACAAAAACAAGTATCCCAAAGTGAAAATATTTAAGCTGAAAAATGAAACCATTTTTTCGAAATGGCAACACTGTGCCTCCTGGGAGTTACGGATCAAACTACTTCTGCTCCCACTCTTCTCTTAGGGGATTTGGCACCCTGGCCAAAATCACCTCATGATGTACCATGGATAATACTTCCATAGCTTATGTCCTCACGTCATTTGAAAGGTGCTACTTCCTTTGGAGATGTGCTGCCTTTGGAGAGGGGAAAAAAGCATAAAGGCATTACACCTCTGATTGAAATTGAAATATTTTGTTTTCCACCTAGAGGAAGAAGATATTTTGCCGTTGTCCTCCTCCTTCCCCCAAACTATAACAAACGTTCAATTAAGAACAAGTTTAACCCCCCCACACACACTAATTTTCTTAAGTTTTTTCCTAAAGCAAAGTCCATATTAGAGCTTTTCAGAAGATAAAGGAGAAAAGTTAACACAATTCACACTCATTATTGTGAGCACAACACACGACACTGAACAAGCCTCATGTGAACTCGGTAGTCAAAGAGGAGACTAGGAAACTTTAAAACAAACCAGAAAAATGGTCTGTGACAAAAAGTGAAATTGAAATGTTATCACTAGTTTCCTCTAAGCCAACGGGCAGCACAAATTAGGACAGAGAAGCTCACATGGGCCTGTGCTGTATTCTCAGGCTGTCACTGACATGAACACAGCACAGCCACATCAGCTATGGTGATTCTTCTAGAGTTCACTGATCTTGTCCTTTCTGGACCAGTAATTCTTAAACAGGAGGGTGTTGCTACCAGTTCAGCCAAGTTCAGACATCTGCACTGCGCACCTCCAAGGCAGTTCTCCAAATGCCCTCATACTCAGCAGAGAGAAAAAAACCCCTGCATTTTCAAACAATGCTTATCTCATTCCAGGGAAGATTTATTTCTCCCTATCAGCTGCAGAAGTACCCTAGATAACTCAGAGGCCTGTATTATTAGCACATACAGTCAGGGGAGATGACTACCACAACACTGCTCCTATACAAATGTTCTGTGTGAGTTGCTTTAGGGCCTTAACTTCAGCTGGAATCTGCAGGCATTACTGTAACCTAAATATTAGTCTCCAAAAACTGCTATGTATTCCTACAAAGCTTCATTTACTTTTGAACTAGCAAAGAGAGTATAACCATGAATAACCTATTAGATGTCTAAAAAAGGAAGAAGAAACAAATTCCTTTTCCCTAGCCTGAGTATAAAACCAGCTCCTCTATTTGAATGAAATGAATTCTCCAAAACCATACCAATTTGAAGAGAATTAAATATATGGTGCAAATAAAGCTGCAACTCAGAGAATGAACAAGGGCCAGCAATCAGGGCACACAGATTAGACAAAAAGCACAAAAAGGCCCTTACTTTTCCTCCCACAGCTGAGATGACCTCCCTTGCCACCAAGTGATTTTGGTGTGCACATGCATGGCTGTTCTCTCTCTTCCACATCTGGGAGCTTGAACTTCTTCCCGAAAGTACTGACACTCTGCAGACTCTCAGAAAACAAGACATCTATTTCTACTAGCTCTCATGGTATTCTGTCAAACGCAGTCGTTCAACCATCAATCTCCATTTGTTCTTTTAACTGGACAGAGCCCTCAAGTAGGAGTACCATCAGTCAACACAGTGATTTATTTTAGATCTTTCAGAAGATTCAGACTTAACAACATTCTGAATAGCTACCAGACACTTGAAGACCAAACAGATCCTTCACTGCACTGGCCTTACAATTCATTTCCAGTATGCACTAGGAAATTTAGTAAGATTCAGGCTCCTCACCTGCTGACCTAGCTTTCAGGAAGGTTCAGCAGTCTCCAAGGTTTTGTAATTGTAAAATATAATTAAGAAATGCAAAGTTTTGGGTCAAGCAATGGATAAGAAATAATGAAAGAAAATGCATATATATACATAATTGGGGCTCAGTTATAGAAAAAAAAATGGGCCACCTTAGCAACATGCAGCAATCAACTTGTAACAAATTTTTCAGGTAAGCTAGACAGTGGTCCTACATTGCAAACCTTCAGAGGTTTTTTTTTATGGAGCCAATTCTAAACGGGCAAATAAATAATGTTGCCAGTAAAGATTCATTCTGAAAAACACATCCACTCCGACCATTACTGTTCCAAAGATGAACTACACTTACAACATGCATTAGAGCACATCTTTAGTTCTCATAAAATCTGAATTAGGTGAGGAATTGCCACCCCATCCTCAGAGAAAAGTCTCCTCATGTTACCAATGATATGTTCAGCTACCTGTGGTAGCCTTGTGTCACACAAAACAAATACTCTGTCCCATCTTTGGGACAAAGAAAACTGCAGAATTAATAGCTATGTATCTCCACATTACAATGATAATTAATAATGCATCACATCAAGTCTTGCAACCTGACTGTCACTATGACAATATCCTGACACAGTATTTTCATTGCCCTCACTGACAGCCTTCAGTGTTCATCAGCAAGGTATCTCGCAGTTAAAGGCACTTAAAAATAGTACCAGTGAAGAAGCTGCACAATTTAAAGTCAATGCTCCTAAATGGGGACAGAGGGCAAACATGATTAATCAAGCAGCAATAGAG